GCACGCTGGCTCCTTCTCTGTGAATTTAATGAATTCCGAAAGCGAGGCACAGCGAGGGCGAGAGAGGGGTAAGTGGCACAGGTAGGAAAGTGAAACCCCGCTCCTACTAAATAAGAAAAAATAAAATAAAAATAAGCAAGCATGCATGCATGCAAACCAGTAATTAAATAACACTGATTTAAAGCTTTCGTGACTGCAGGGATTCATCTTCTTGGTTCTTTCGGTAAAGTCACGTAGAAGAGAAGTAATAAAATAATAAAAATAAAACATAATAAAATAAAATAATTCTCACGACGTTTCGGCTACAACGCAAGCAGCTGTCTTCAGGTGGCAGTGTCTCATTCTTCACCTGAAGACGGCTGCTTGCGTTGTAGCCGAAACGTCGTGAGAATTATTTTATTTTATTATGTTTTATTTTTATTATTTTATTACTTCCCTTCTACGTGACTTTACCGAAAGAACCAAGAAGATAAATAACACTGGTGGACATGAGCATTCGACAGACAGTTTTACATCACACCGTCTTTGGGCTTTGGGCTGTCCCCAACACTTAAAAAGGCAATGTTCCCTGACTGCGCGAAGAATCATCTCATCATGAGCGGATGTTCCAAATGGGCTTCGCACGAAACATTACGCGCGTTTATCCGTCGAGCAGATGACCCATTCTGACGTACGGCATGGTGACCGCGGTCCATTTATTGGATTATGGGAAATAATATTTTTCGCCAGGGTGCACAAGCCAGTCGCTAAAAATCTCATTACTGTGCGGTCCCTGCTGGCAGTGGTGGGGGGGGGGGGGGTCACGTGCCGCGAAGGAGCCAGCGATCGGAGAGAAACAAAGGCAGGACTCCCAGAGCATCTCGGAATCAAACATTCACACCGCCATCGCCGCCAGAACAACAGGGCTGCAGCTCCTCGGCCCAAATGTGGTGGTGGTGGGGGAGGGTTTCTGTGTGCCTGTGTCACTTTCCAAAAAACAACAGGGCCAGAAAAGCCGCACGTAGAAATGTTCAATTCACCGTCGTGGAGCAAAGTATCTTCTCCCGAATGTCAAGGCAGCAAATGCTGCTAATTAAGCAAGGGATGTTGGAGCCGATGATCGTTACGATTCGGGGTCATGATTCGATTTGAATAACAAATCTCTGTTGTCTTCTTTTGACAGCATAATAGCTCAGAATCCTCATGGGTAATAAATGCAAAACCAAAATATATTAATGTCGGAGTGCACGATAGAAGAATACGCATGTTAAAACAATAACCTGGGTCGAGTTGTACAATACAATTTGGGATTTGTCTGGCGTATAAATACAATTACATCTCAACGTGTCGTTTGCTACAGACTCGTACATTTTTGTTCTGCCTCCTTTGGTACTTCCTGCTTTGCTTCGTGTGCAGCTTACACACAACGCGAGCATCGCATTTGCATAAATAATTATGTAATTAAGCTCGCAGACGCAACTCGATGCACGCGTGGCGATTAATTGACGGCACCGCCAGCATGCCCACCACTTTACGATGCCACACGCGCTTACAACGAGAGCTCACCCATCGTATTATTTAAGTGAACAACTACTCCACAAATGACCGCTTCGATTACTTTGACCAATCACATCGCAATTAAAAGGGTTCGGCAATAAAAGCCACCCATCCCAACCGGTGAGGTTACGGGGCAGGGGCCTTGGTGACATCAGAGGTATCATCAGCTGCATCATAATGGATGGACATGGCTCGTAGGGGGGTTTCCCACCTTCGGGAGGCTGAATGTCAGAGTGGTCGCCATTTTTAAAAGGGGCTTCCGAGTAATCGACCACCAAAAATGTAGCGGACGAATTTCCTTGGACGGACAAATTGTCCCGGCTCTACACACATCCCGCTGTCAAGAACTCGCATTGTGCGAGCTTTGGAATAAACTGGCTTTTGTTAAAATTCACAGAAATTCACCAAAAAAAACACATCTTGAGGGGGAATAAAAAGGCACCGAGCATATCTCAAGACAACACGTATTTTTTTTTTACCAATTTAACCAATTAATCTGTCATGAATAAAAAAATATTTAAGCAATTAGTTTCAGCTAAATAAGTTACAATATATGCATTGTGTTAAGCATCTCGTCTCGCAATTAACAGGAGTAATTTGTCTTTGCACACGTTGCAGTGTTTTATTCATTAGGCTATTTCCATACAAAGTTATAATCCACACTATGCATAATGACACTCGGTGTTTTGCATGCTTATTACGGTATTGCGCTTGCAATTATTAATTTTATTTCACGCCTAATGCATTCGCATTGGATTTCTCCTCTCGTCTCCCTTAAAAGATTAACTCGTGTTCTAGTTTCTCCAGATTACGTGATGTATTTTAGTGGGGTATTTAGAAGCGGATCACTGTGTATTTAAAAACAAATTTATTCAACCAGATAAAGCCCACTTAGCTATGCAGCTTTTTTTGCAGAAGCGACCTGGCCACAAATGATTGCTCAACGAAGTGGCCTAATTGTGTGGAAATATATAGCAGCCAAAAACTCGAAACGAATGTTTCGAACTGTGGAAGAAAAACTCGAAGGCCCCAGGAGAAAAGTCCACGTGACCACGGGGAGAACACGTAGTGCCGCATCTCATATTTAGCATGCCGTGCCTGTCACGGCCGTTCGTTCATGCCTCCTTTGGAATATAATTATTCACAATGATGTGAACACGCCGCGATGCAACAAGGCCTGCCCCGTGGGCCCCGAGTTGTTGCCGCGCGTGCAAAGAGAGGTGCACAACGGCGGAGTCCAGTTCCCCCCGCCATGCACTTTCCGCTCAAATTCATTTCCAAGAAAAGCCAAATTGAAAGGGAATGAACCAAAGCAAACGCAGGGCGACTCTCCTCGCCAAATTTGCGCATTGGGACGAGCTTCTTTGCCGAGATGAGCGGCATTTATAGACTTCGATTGAAATGAAAGCGAATCTCACAGTCGCCGGCTCAGCCTACACAAACATCTTCGTACCTCTTTTCACGCACATGCGAAAGGTTATACGAATGCCCTTCATGTATACGGTAGGGAGGGTTACCGATGCATCGATTCATTGACATTGATTCTCATATATAGCGGGAGGGAGAGTGCTGCTGTCTGCTGCATGGACTGGAGGTCACTTGATGGGATCTCAGAGGTACATGAATGCTACGAAAATGCATTTAGAGGATTTGGCTGCTGTAAATGTCCATATGATAAGCCACTTCGCTGAGCTATCATCTGCGGCCAGGTCGCGTCTGAAAAAGAGCTACTGTATAGCTCAGTTTAAGTTCAAGTTCATTTATTAGGTATAGCCCTGTGAGCCATTCGGCTCTTGAATCGGGTGCAACCGCAACAAAAAAAACATGAACAAGAAAACATCTTAAAGTGAATGTGACTTAGTGGGCCTTACCTGCTAAAATAAAATAAACATTTGTTTATTTTAACTTGTTTTTTTCCGAGACACGTTGTAATAGTTCAGATAACCAACAAGCCATGCTCGGTAATTGTGTTATAACATGCACCATCATCACCTGACGCCACCCTCCTACTCGTACATTTTGTATCCTTGCATTCGTTAATTTGTTTATTCTCTTGCATTGGGCCAAGCTTAACCAAGCGCGGCGCTGTACAGACGATGTGAATCAATGCCGCAAAGATAAAAAACAAATCTAATTTACAACTGAACAATAAAACTTAATTCCAGGGGGCTCTTCATGAAAGTGCTAACACGTTACCAACTGTGCAGGTTTTGCACCAGACTTGGCCGCTTCACAGAGTTCTCGATTACATTTTCTTTGGCGACCCAAGCCTGCAACGGTGTTTTCTTTTTTCAAATCCCATGCCACCAAGTTTGGAAAAGAGACGTGATGTTTGCTCTGGGAAGCTTTAAATAAGCACCGCATTCTTGTGTCCAGTAAACAAGGGAGCGGGAGTCTAAAGATGGTAAGAGTTGGTTACTCAACGTTTAAAAGTTCACAGAAACAATGCAGAGACACATGCATTTCTAAATCTGGCCCTAAAGAAAAGTAGCTGCTCCTAATTTGTAATCGTGTGATTGCATCTCCTCCACATACTCCTGTTTAGTAATTATAGAACTTCACAGGAGCATGAGGTGTCCACTGCATGCACCTGTGGATCAGGTAGTGAAGTAACCAAATGTATGGCAGAGGAATGAATTTAATCCAGCATTTGTGGACAGCTTTGAGTGTGATATGCTCGTATGCAAGTAATGCAGCACCCTCCTTAAGATAATGCCGAGACTCGGCGAGGATTTTCCCGTTAAATATAGAGTCACGTAGAAGGGAAATAATAAAATAATAAAAATAAAACATAATAAAATAATTCTCACGACGTTTCGGCCACAACGCAAGCAGCCGTCCTCAGGTTTATTATTTCCCTTCTACGTGACTTTACCGAAAGAACCAAGAAGATGAATCCCTGCAGTCACGAAAGCTTTAAATCGAAATATAACCATCCCTATAACGCTGTATGCAGAACTGGACTTAATATCCAGAGGGTGCCAATTCGATCTTCCTGCCATAGCAGTTATAGCCGCGAGCAAGCTCCTCATATTCCTGCGCCTGCCCCCACACACAGCAGTATAAATGGGCAGGTCGTGTGCGGTGGGGTAAATTATGGGTATACTCCAAGTTCTTCCAATATATCTGGAATGTGTGGAAGAGTAGGCCAAAGCATCTACTTATAAGGGGCTCTCTAGAGCTGCATATCGTGCAGGCCCTGCTGCCAGCAGTGGTGCGAGTTGAGCAATTTCAACGACGCCGTGGCTTCACCTCAACTTCTGATGACATTCCACGCCGAACAACAACGACGACAACAGAAGGGTGTTCACGTCAGAAAACATTTGGCAGCAACATTTGGAGGCTGCCGCTGCTCCCATTACACCAACGCAAGTCTATCAAACATTCATCAACGCGGCGGGGATGGGGGGAGGGGAGGGGTGGGGTGGGGAGGGATTTCTTGGAAATGAAAACGGGCGACTCACCCCCCACCAGTGGTGCACGGTGTCAGGAAGGTCGGCGTTCTCGCGCGTCCACAGCGGCACGATGTCTCGGTTGAAGCGCTGGTCGAACCACTCGGAGAGGCCCGAGTCGGCGACGCAGGTGTCGCACGCGCACGTCTTCACACCGGCGCCCAGGCCCCCGCGCCGCGACGGCAGCGCGTCCCCGCTGCGCGCGGGCACCAGCTTCACCCTGCGCGCCACGGGCCACGGGGCGCAGCGACAACAACAACAATAAAAATTAACCCGTAAAAACAAAGTTTTTCACTATAAATCCTTTATATGCGTGGCGGCTAGAGTCCTCTCGTCCTCTGGCTTGAGATGGCTGCCACCTATGGGTCAGATGAATGGCTGCCACCATTAAGAAATTGGTAATTAAATATAATTTATTTTTTCCTAAAAAGTGTAAAATCAAGAAAATAAATTGTCACGCACAACGAGTCTGTGTGCAAAATGTCAGCTCGATTGGATCACGGGAAGTGGGTTAAAAAACGACCGAAAGATTTGCACGGTCTTAAGCAAGCAAGCAAGTGAACTTAATATAAAGGATTTAAAAAATGGGCAGAGATCCCCATTGTGTGGTTTGCTCGCACATTTTTTTGACCGCAAGTGTGCGCGGTGAATGCAGAGTTGACGCCTTGCAAAAGGTTTCTATTTGGTGCTTGGACATCTTGACACCTCCTCAACGTATTTGATACTTGCAAAAAAGTCCCATAGATGCCGAACACACTGTTGGCACAAGTGCTGTTAGCGAGCACCTATGAAGGCCGGCATGGCACACAAGGGGGTGGGTGGCCACCACCACGCCCAGCCACCTTTGTCTCCCGAGCAAATGATGGTTTACACACCGCACCAGGTAATCATTTTCGGCCGAGTCGACCCAGAGCAGACCCAGGACTGGTTCGAAAAAAATAACCATCACTGGTGTTGGCCGTGAGCGGGAATTGAACTCGGGTTAAGATTATACGGGGGATCTTTGTCTTTGTTTTGTGTGCATGTTGTAATCTTGGGCGATGCAACATGACTGGTGTAACGCTGGGAATGGACACGCCACCTCGAACGCTCGCTCACGAGGCGGCGGCGCTCCCTCCGTGTGACCTCTACCATCTCGGTTAAAAGATTCGCGTTGAGTGAACGCGCTTCTGTTAACAAAACTAAGAAAAGCACCGCGTGGACGTTTTATATCTTGGCCAACAAATGCACGTGGAAGAACGCGGCTACACGAGGAGCCAAAGCGTTGCGAGTCTTTACACAAGTGTATGTAGCTGGGCTGGACAGATGACAATCTGTACCAAGCTTGCTGGCTGATAGGGGGTTAGCGATCGTTCAGACTGCCCTCACTGCTTCTTACCAAAACACCACGTGAATATGTTTGAAAGGATATATATGAACATTCTTAATTCCATCATCATCATCATCCATGACTAATTCATCCCTCACATTCTTGCACAATTTAACATGATAAAAATTAGGGTTCTTCTGTATACGAAATATAGCAACAGGTAGTCTTTGTAGTGTATTATATTTATATTTTTTTAATCTAAAAAAAACAGTTTTTTTTCCTTATGCCAGGCACCTGGCACGAGCCTCTGTCACGGGACAGGGAGAGAAAGGAATGTGGCAGCTGCCCTCATAATCGGAGGTAAATGGCTGGCAGCCTCTCTCGTGTCGTACTACCCCTCCGTAAAACTCCTCCAAGACATACAAATATACCGTGACGACTTCCTTAACACCGGTCCACGGAAAAACCACCTTTGCCACGTGCTCGTACCACGGCCAGTTCGGGTCTTAAAACTTTGGACAAACTCATTTTGACGAAGCCATTAATGAAAACGCCTCACCGCAAGAGTCTACCTGAGCAGACTTTTAAATAAACGATTGCCCGTAATGGCCAATGTCCTTCCCCTGGAAAAGATTTTCAATAATATATCAACGGTAGCTTCCGACCAAAATCCCACGGTAATAACCAGCACAAGCGCCCCACACGTGTGTACAGATGGACAAAAGAAATGGCATTTTGAGAGCGCTTATTGATTTCAAAGAGGTTTAACAGGGGAATTAAATCTTTTACTCAGCAAACACAGTGGACTCGCACAAAACTGCTGTGCCAGCACTTCCACATCCCTCGCAACAAAAAATGAAAGGGAATGCTTTGAAATAGCGCCAACATAAGGGAGCATTGAAGTACAAGTCAATCAACAATCCCACTTCATTCGGGCGGAATAGTTTGTTAAAGTTTTGTTAAATTGGCAGGGCAGGAATTGTGAGCTTTAATGAGTGGCAACACAAGCAATTCAGCGGCCATCAAAGAAAGCATTTGCATTAAAAAAAGATTCAAGGAACGAAATGACTCACAAAGCATTCTCAGTAATGGCGCTGCCTCATCGGGCAGCATGCGGCTGGAGAGTTAAAACAAAAGATACCCGACTCAAGCGTGGGAGATTGCATCGCAAATCATATTGTGTGACCGCACCTCATAGGCATTTTCTTTCTCATCTTTCATTTTACGTGAAAACATCACTTGGCACAGTACCCAATTACTGCATAACAAAGGTCCCTCCCCACCCCCACCCCCCACCTTGGAGTCTTCCCAAGCACTCCCAGGCCATGGTCTCTGCTATTGCAATGTGATGAGCGATTGGCAATGAAGGCAGAGGCGAGCGATGGAGCGTGTTGGTGGCCGCACTACGCCTGAAATGTCAAACTATAAATAAGCAAATAAATTGCTCCCTGCCTCCCCCACCCTGCCTGGATCGCACGAGTCCTGCGCGGTGCTGGTGGGCAGCTGTCAGGGTGATCGGCTAATGGTCTCAACCTGCAATAGGAGCGTGGCCGTGCCTTTCCATCCAGTGGCACACGTCTTGCGTACATTTTTTACTATTATGCCGACGGTGGAAATATCGTTTGAGTGCGAAGTAAATGTGGAAAGAATCAGCGGCGTTCGTGTGCGCAAGCCGAGTCAACCAGAAAGACAACCGAGACGGAAGGGTAAAGTGCCGGTCGTAGGCCTAGCGTGGGACGATCGGCTAATGGTAACGTAGGGAGATTGGGAGACTGAAGTTTAAATAAGCGGCTTGAAAAGTAAATGGCTGACAGTTGAGAGCGGGTGTCTGACAAGAGACCAGAAATCTCGTGGCAGGATAGGATCGGCAGTGTAGGAACCCACAAGAGTGTGGAGCAGGTGAGTCGGTGCACGTGTGCAGAATGGAGGAGGGCTGCTTGCCGACACTCCACTAGCCCAGAGACCAAGGGGCAGACCCAAGATTAAATTGTAAGGAGGCTGTCAGCTTAGATATCGCAGGTTGCGTATCTTTTGTGCCATCTCTGGTATATGGCGGACGCGGTTGACAGCGATGGCGAGGCTGGGTGGCATCCAACGGCTTTGGCCGAGATGACGCCTTGATCTTGACCTCGAGTTCGCATTTGAGGCAAATATTTAAACAAACAAGGCAGTGGGAGAGGAAACATTGGAAGTGAAGGCGAGGCCACTCAAAGCACTCATCTCTTGTCGCGCGGGCTCAGAGGGGAATTGATTTGTTATTCTCCTGCAGCGAGCTCACCTGTGCGTGCGCGCGCTTAGGAGCGGCCGCGACGCGCGCACGCACAAATTAACACGACTACAGGTGGACGCTCCGCGTGGGAGAAACCAAGAAGCGGGTGGCGAGAACGCAATTCCCTCCCCGTGAACGCCACTGGGGGATGTGCGGCGGAACGCCCGCACGGGAACGGCTTTCGTCGGTAAGAGTCGCCACCAATCCCCTTCGTGTCCATCAATCAGAGGGCAAGGGGGCTGCGACGCGGGGAGAGCTCTCGCGCCGCGTCGCCCTGCTCCGCACCCACAATAGCCCCCTTTCAGGCATCACTCGTGTCGCCCCCGCGCTCGCTCCTAATTGGCGATGCCATTTGGAATTTTCAAACAATTTCCGCTTTATACGTGCCGACACTTCGCGGGCTCGCACACAAAGGAGGAAGGTCCCCTGTTGCCGCCGTATAGAAATCCGCCGCTAGCGAGCACCTGTCGACGCTGGTGTGGCAAAACGAGTGGCTCGTTGGGTTGAGCTGACCTAGGTGAGTGCCGAGACATGCTTGGATATGCCATTTGCCGCAAATGTTTTCCATAGCTCGGAATCCAAGCCAGGTGCTGGGATCTTTGCACAGTGAATTAAGCACTCTAATAACCACAACTATTTGCAACGAGGAGTGATGGCACAGCGTTTAGATTTTTGCCCATAAATACCATCAGTGGCAAGTGATATCTGAACCTGTCGGGGGCTTCGCCCTAGGTCATTTCAGCCTTAAATAAGTATCTGCTGCCATGTGTAAACAAACTAAACACTGGAGTGACAAAAGTGACTGGGCATGGTGCTAACAACATCACCGCTTGTGAACTATGATACGTACTTGGTTACAGCACTTACCCAAACAATCTATAATGCGACATGTGGGAACCTGTCTGTATATATATGCAAAGAGACAAAGATCCCCCATATAGCCTTAACAGACTGTTGGGGCAAGTGCTGTTAGCGAGCACCTATGAAGGCCGGCACGGCACAAGAGGGGGTGGGTGGCAAACACCACGCCTCGCCACATTTGTCTCCCTAGTGGCGATGTTTACACACAGCACCAGGACCGGTTCAGATAATCATCACCGGTGCTGACCATGAGCAGGAATCGAACTCGGGTTGCCGAGTTCGTAGCGCAGCGCGCTAACTGCTATGCCACCACTCCCCACTGTATGTGCATGTACACACACGAGCACCAATGTCATATTGACACTTTGAGACAAAAGCTGTTGATGGGTTCCTGGTATGACTTCAATGGTACAAGAGAGGCCAGCACTATACTGTACACCCAACGTGAGGACAGGCCAGGAACAGAATCCAGGTGGCCTGATATGAACCCAGGCAATGCCATATGCTCGCCATCGCATAATGACTGCTCAAATCACAACACACGCACGCACTCCAGTATATACAATTATATGCGTATCCATTAGATAAAATCTAATTCAAGCACTCACCTTGCATCCCCATATCGCATCACACAGTGCAGGCTTCCTTGTATTTGTTTCAGACGAATGTTTAGTGGCCTTAAGCATAACCAAACACCGTTAAGTTCACAATCATCATCAGGCATGATCGATCCACTGCTGGGTGAAGGCTTTCCCAGGCTGCCGCGATCTGTCACAGTGCTGCGATGTAACAATCCATCCAGTATCTCCACGCAAGCGGATGTTCGCTCTATCCCCTCAGACGTTCTCAAAGACGAGTTCCATTCCTTGGCTGTCACTTCCATCATTAGCCTCGATGATCGACCATCGTCCATTCTAGCGACGTGTCCCGCCCCAAAGCCTACACTTTTCCCAACAGTTTGAATTACGTATTTAACCTGCCCCTGTTCTCGAATAGACTTGCCTTTTTCTTCCTCAATGTAATTTGCGTATCATTATGTCTCTCAGTGTAATTCACAGAATGCATCTCTCCAGGTCTATCTGCGCACTTTACGCTTTTTTTCCCACAGAAACCTAAAAAAATCTCTTTAAAAATTGTAAGAGGCTTAAGGAGAAATTGTGCCAAAGAGTCATGAACCCTGAAACCCGTAGGGCAATAAATCCAAGAGCATGGGGCCGCAACACAAGCTCCCTACCTCAGCATGCCGTTGCCTCCGAGTCGCCTGATTTATTGCGTCTGGGCATTAGAGATCTAGGCGGAGGATGCACGTGGGGCTGACCGTGACTCCGAGTGTCACCGCGATTGAGGTCCGATGGACTGGAATTATTCGCTCGCGCGAATGCCTCTTAACGGCACGCCCGGGCGCACAAGATCTCAAATAAGAGTTATTTTTGGGGAGGCCGGTTTTGCACAACAGTCAAATAAACATGGCCAAGCGACAAAGCGGCCCTGGCGCCGGGAAAGGGGGAAAAACCCAAAGCAAAGCCGCACCTGTCGCCATTTTAACGGGATCTCTCGCAAAGCAGAGAACCAAGAGGGCAGCGGATTAAAGCGACACCGCTAAGCGCGATGTCGCAGGATGCAGACGTGCCCCGCAGGGTCATTTGGGGCGGGAGGCTTACGTCTCAAGAAGAGCGTGCGAGCGAGCGAGCGAGCGTGCGTGCGAGCGTGCGGGTCGCGTCCCCTTAACGTTGGCACAGACGGTGACGCGAAAGGGCCCTTGTGGACGTCCGAGTGCCGGAGCCCGTGGTGCGAGGCGCCACCACTTCTCCCTGGCGAACCGGCGGCTCCCTCCACCTCTTAGCCGTTGCACCACGCTCCGCCAGCGTCCCGTTGTCAGGCGGCATAGCACTCCACATCTCGGCCACCACAAACTAAACGCATTATTTATTTCACTAGGTAAGGCCCAGTGAGCTCTAGATCTCTTTTACAGAAGCGACCTTCAACGTGCTGCATGCTTAGAGCTCCTTACTTGCAATGGTTGGCCAGGCGTGTGATATCTATCCTATCCAATTGGCCGAGACAATTATCAACACTTTTTCGTACGGCTCTTTGTTAATCCACCAACGTATTAAGGCCTACCGACGCCACGTACATTATACGTGCTGTTTGGTCATAATCTAGATTTGAAGTTTTCGTGACTGCAAGAATTCATACTCTTTGGTTCTTTCGGTAAAGTCACGTGGGTACAAAATAAATGAAATCACGACGTTTCGGGCGCAACACATACTTCGCCACCATGGTCAGTGTGGGTTTGGTGAAGGGGTGTCCCAGAACCAGTTCAGATATCATTCTCCACTGATGTTAGCCATGGCTGGGAATGGAACTCAGGTGGCAGGCTTCATAGGTCAGGGTGCTAACCACTGCACGAACACTCCACTCCACTTGTAAATGTTGTGGTTTCACGCGTCAACACACCGGTGGGCTAAAGCAGTGAACTATTTGTCTTTTGTCAACGCGACACTTTTTTACTGATTGGCCGTGTCGGGTGGTGGAGGGTTACGACACATTTATAAATAACGCGATCTAAACCCAAAAACGTTGATTATGAATAATATTGGTCGCGAAAGCCTACGTGTTAAACTCCACTCCCATTGCTATTATGCAAGCCCAAACGATTCTTGTAGATCAATATCTCACAGACCGATTGATTGGCATCCCCTAAATGACAATGCTAAATGTATCTCTTGGATAGAATATAAATGAGCGAAACAGGCAAAAAGAAGGATCAATAAATCAGTTGGGTGGTATAGCCAGCATGTTATCTGAATCACACTTTTGTAAAATAAAAAGTGACAAAGTAACAGCATGCCAGGGGGGGCTGCCAACGCATAAACCGCAAATAAAGTGTACCTAACGTATTTTGGTTTAACACGTAGTAGGCTTTTGCGACCAATATTATTCATAATAAAAGTTTTTGGGTTAGATCGCGATATTTATAAATGTGTCGTAACCCTCCACCACCCGACACGGCCAAACAGTAAAAAAATGTGTCACGTTTAGAAAAAACAAATAGTTCACTACTTTAGCCCACCGGTCTGTTGAAGAGTGAATCAACATCATTTACAATTTGTTGAGTACGACGTTTCGCTGGTAATTACATCCGGCATCATTGTGTGTGTTTAATCGTGTTCATGAAATGGAAAAACAAACTTAATAGAGCTACCACAGAAACCACATGCCCCAGTTTGCCCATTCCTTCTTCTCCGGCCAGTTTCAAAAGCTGACCCCGAGTTTAATCGCGCGTTACGCTCCCGTGGCAGCATAAGACGACACGTCAATAAAAGTGAATATTTACAAAAAAAACCTTCAAGGAGTATTGAAGCAACGAGCACGCAGGGCTTGCTCACAGCTCTTCAGCCGCACAGCGCCGTGTCTAGTGGCGTCCACCTCGTACGTCGCCTCACGTGTGATCGGGGCATTGAAGCCACGAAGTTCACCCTTTCCCCTTTCTGAGACGTCTGCAAGTTCAAGCGGGGGTCCTGTTCACCTCTGAATCTCGCAACGCGCAAGCGGCTGGGCGTTAATTGTATTTATAGAGGCGTAATGCCTCTATAAATACAATTAACGCGCAGAACCGTAGCAACACGACCGCGCTCTACTGATAGCTGGTCACAAACTGTGCCGCACACGCCCTCCCGCATGTCCTTGATGGGAGCCTCGGTAACGATAAAGTTCTATTTTTTCTTCCGGTGAAGAAAAACTGATGACGTACCTGGAAGTCATCGGAACAGGGAAAGGGTTAAGCACATTATGGACACTTCGTGCGCAGGGCTAACCAGCCGCCATCGCCAGCAGAGGAGGATCCCACACCCCGAGCTGCGTTGGGGCGTGAGTTTTACGTGCGTTGGCGATCCCCTGCCGGTCGATATCGTAGTTGAACAACAACATCTGTGACGCCTGCCAACCTGTTGTCGCGCGCCTTATTAATGACAGTTAATAACCGCGGTGTCGGTCACGTGGGGGCGAAGTCTTGTCAAGTCACATCATGACACTCGTGCGGTGAGGGCCTGCCCCATTAAAACAAGCGGGCACCGCGCCAGATGCATACAGCGGCAGGCATGCTCCAGATGTTGAAACCCAGGCAGCGGGACGTCAAAGAATGCGCCGCGATTTATGAAATTGCCATTTGTCAATCCGTTCACGCGTAAACACGTTGTATCGTCACGGCAAAATGTAGCATGCAGAGATAGTCGAACGAATTGCTGCGAAACTACGATTCGCATCGCAGCCGCTTTAACGTTGTCTGTTTTTAAATAGTAACCCCATTGTGAATGTAACCTCTGCCACAAAATATGTGTGTCCGCAATCCGCATTAAGAAAAGCCTGTCGCAGTTCACTACGCCACGTGCCGACAAATCAATGCACACGACCGCCTCCATTATTCCACGATCATCGCCGGCCCCCCAAATTCATTCGTGGGGCACAGGGCAGTGGCCGACTGTTTAACCGCGACTTTAAAACCGTACCTGTGCGTGACGAGGGCGGTGGGCAGCCTGGTGCTGAGCGGCGGCTCAGTGCGCGTGTGCTTTATGTAGACGGTGGTGAGCGTGAGCACCAGCGATAGGCTCGTGAGCAGCATCACGCGCGGGCTGCACTTCCACGCGGCCATCGTCTTTTGCACCAGCCGCACGGCCTGCTGCTCGTGCACGCGGTCACCCGGGTTGCGGGCGCGGAGGGGGGGGTGCTTGTCAGCTGCTGCGAGCGACCGCCAAGCTGGCTGCACACACACTGCATACACAAAGAGAGATAGAGGGGGACAAAGACCCCGCGCGCACGGTCATACGGACTATTGCATGGCTTTAAATAGAAGCTGAGTCACATGTATATATATATTGAACTTATTTCGCACCGTACATTGGCAACTGCGCTCATCCGAGGCGCAGGGGAAGGATAACAAACTAAACACAAAAAGCAGTTCTAAAGAAATTCGTTTTCAATCTAGATTTGAAGTGCATAGCTCCAGCGACTTCCTCATATCGGAAGGAAGAGCGTTCCAGACGGCCGCAGAAGCGCATCTGAAAGCGCGCGATGCAGTGACCATCTATGTTCAATAGCTAGTTAAAAGCCTCTGCCTGTGAGGATAAGTTCACGTGGCATGGTGTTGAATATAAGCTGGGTCACCTGGACCATCGTTCTGTTCTGACCATGTATAATTGCAGATATACGCAGAGACAGATTCCCTGTTAAACCGACACTAGCTGCTGGTGCAAGTGCTGTTAGCGAGTGGATATGAAGGCTGGCACGGTGCACGAGGGGATGGTGTGGTCAATATTGCACCCCGCCGTCTTTGTCTCCCCGGAGCTGATGTCTAGACACTGTACCAGGTAATTCATTTAAGGATGAATCGACCTAGGAAAGGTCCAGGACCAGTTTGGATATTTGTTGCTGATGTTGGCCGTGAGCAGGAATCAAACTCAGGTCGCCAGCGGTTTGTAGCAGTGCCATAACCAGGACACAACAACAACAACCGCCATTCGCCACTAAGTGGCGGTGACGTCACCACGACGCTTGTGCCAGGCCATGTGCACTCCCACTCCCCCACAGGCAGCTCCGTGCACACACATACACGCACTTTAAGTTGTGGATTACTGAACATTGCCAACATTTTTCATGTGCGTACAAAGTGTACGCTAGGCTTCTGGCGGTGAATGTATTCATTTTTAGAGTGCCGTAATAACATTTTGATAAATACTCTATCTCTGTGAAAGGGACGTTTTTAATGCATTAGCTTTTTTTTTGCTTGTGTAAGTGCATCCTATACCAATAATTATAAGAGTATGGAAAAATGTATAGCAAGGATAAAAAGATGCCACTTAAAACCTGGATGTATATTCACATGTCCTTTTTTTAATGAATAATTACACTTAAGACTAGGTTTAATTGAAAAGCAGGTTTTTTTTATTCAAATTAGTAAGTAATTTCTCCGACATATAATTGGAATCCTTACACTGAAATAACCCCACCTTGAACAGAACTTTGCAACAAGGGCCCCTACGATGGCTTGCGGTGTTGTGACTCGGTACAGAAGTCGTCGTTAATATTGTTATGATTGTCAAAGAGAAATATTACCCATTCAGCACTGTAGGCTGCACAAGCCATGCCAGCCAGCACGTATTATGGTTAACCTGGGCCCACAATTGGTCGTGCAAATGTTTACCAAACCACAAAAGGTGCACAGTTTCAGATACTAACAATCCTGACTATTTTTATTCTAGCAGGTAAGGCCACCTGAGCTATATTAGCTATTTTTCAGAAGCTACCTGGCCACAAATGATAGCTCAACGAAGTGGCTTATCACGTGGGAATTTATAGCAGCCAAACACTCTAAACGCACGGTTATAAATGTTAAGTGAAAAACCGGAGGACCCGAAGAAAAATCCACGCGACCACGGGGAAAACATGCAAACGCCAAATACACAGACATCAGGCTCAGGATCGAACCCACGACCTCCTGTGTACCAGGCGAAGTAGTTAACATCTCGCCACCATGGCGCCCCAGATGAGTTGACCTAGATGCCAAGCGAGAGCCAGACCACGATCTCCACTGGAGTCACACAGGGCAAGGATCGAGCGCAGCACAATAAGGGCAGTAAATGGGTACATGACCGCCAGGTCAGTGTAGATAAATTCCCACCTTATATTTGCATTGCTTTAGCCATTTCGGTGACCGAGGTCACTCCTGAGAAGGAGACTCATCGTGTTCGTTTGAGTTCTCACTGGTGAAACGAAATAAACCTGAACTCTTCCAAAGATCTTCTTGGTTCTTTCGGTAAAGTCCCTCGAATGAAAATAAAATGCAATACTGTATTGCATTGTAAGATCTGCGGTTTTTTTTATTTTACACGTGGTATATTATATTTGACATTGTAACAAAATTATAAACAATCAGATGGCATTGAAAAGGACAAACAAGACCCTAATTAATGTTAGCATTACAAAATGCAACTTTTGAATGGACTGCAATTGTTAACACATGAACTGCAAAGTGACCTTTGGTCAACCATATCGCGATCTTATTTACTGCAGCTTTAAACATTAGAAACATGCTTTGCCTGTCAAATATTGTAGCGATGGACCACCAGGGCAACGGTAAAAGAAATACATTTCATTGTCTTCGACTTGAATCTATGCCAGTTGATTCATCTCCTCTGGGTTACATAACCTAATAAGCCATCAGCTGAATTCACGAATAAAATTATGTAATCTGTCACGTCACGTAAGCTTCGCTAAGAAGTGGCTTTGACACACTTCTTCGCTACTTGAAAGATAGACAAAATTAACTTGCGGAGTGGATACCTGAAAGAATGCAAAGAATTCGAAGGTCACTGCTGGAAAGGGTACAACTAAAAAACAGGAAAAAAATGGGACAAAATTAGGGATTGGTATCCTTCACCCAGCAGTGAGAACTTACAGGCCGACAATAGCAACTGCCACATGCCATAGAAGGGAGTGGTGGATAGAACAGGTGGGATCTGCTAGGTCTGGTAAGAAGTAAAGTCATGAGTAAGAAAGGGGATCTTACAATACCACACCATTATCTGGATTTCACTGCATCTGGTGCATGCCCTCATGGAAGATATGCCATAAGTTATCGAATTTAATTCTAGATTTGAAGCTTTCGTGACTGCAAGGATTCATACTCCTAGGTTTTTTTCGGTAAAGTCACGTAGGTAAAAATAAATAATAAAAATTGAAATAATCGAAATAATAGAAATAAAATTATAAAATACGACGTTTTGGAGGCAACACAAGTCTCCGTCATCAGGTGGGACCGTCACAGCTAAATTTACTGTACTGATACCGTATTGATTTCTATTATTTTTATTATTAATTTTTACCTACGTGACTTTACCGAAAAAACCTAAGAGTATCGAATTCAACATTGCACCATCAAGCGCACGTATACACGCAGGAGCAGCAATAAGTCAAATCCAGCAAATGATCTGTAGTTCAGAAGGTGATGTAACACTATACAAATCTGACTTAAGGAGTCCGTTTCGTGTAAATTCAAAACTACAAAAATATGACTGAAGGAGTCCCATTCATGTATATATTAAATGCTGTATTATTCAACATTGGTGGGGAATCCGCCGCTGTGTGATCGTCAGCACACTGCATTTGCAGATCAAGATGTCACCAGTTCGATATCCCGGCATGGATGTTGACACATTGGGTACATTTATTAAATATCCTCGGCTCAGTCCACCGGGGCACTATAATTGGGTACACCACAGTGGGTCGTATGTGGTATTCTAAAGTGTGCGTACTCGTCCATATTGAAAGTTGTCTGGCAGTGCGGAAGAGTAGGCCATAGTGCACTCTAGAGGGGCTCTCTGGAGCTGGCTCCCTCTTCGTGCAGACCCTTCTACACAGCAATGGCATGAGTAAGAAATTGTAGGACTGCACCTTTACCTTATTATTTTACACTATTGGTGCTAATAGAGAAACAAGTAAATAAAACCTACTCCGAGTCACAGGCACCTCATCAGTGAATGTAGGGGGGCTGGGTTATGAGTGCAATGTGAGAGTAAAACATGTACTGGGAAAGTCGTAAGCATTGTCAATGAGAATACGAAAATATTAGTTGTGTGTGTGTGCTACATCAAGCGATCATTAGAAATGAGCTCATCGTGAAAAAAATCTATTTAAAAAGCCAATATAAATCAGGAAATAATATCTCCAACCATTTCAAAAGGCAAACGTGGTTAGGTCAGCTTTGGTATAAAAACAAATATATCACCAGCAGATCCAAAATAGATAAATGTGCTCATACAATTTGGACAAGCTGCCCCATTGGATGGGAGTGGTGAAGTTCCTGGGGCAAAAAAATGTACATGCAAGTCTAGAGCTCATAAAAAATAGAACGCTCATTGCGCCCGACTGAAATAAAACATTGGATATGAACGTGGAACGTAGCATTGTGCGTGGTACGGTGTTTGTGTAGTGACATAGAATGAGTCACTGGAACGAGTAGCGCTGGAGACTGGTAGAGAGTGGGATTATGGGTAACAGCCCGGTCTACCAGTGGGACACGTGGGCGAAGCCCGGAGCCTTCTGGGGGAATCCAGAAGAAGGCGTGGCCGAGGGCGGAGCCTGGCCACGCTGGAAAGGATAAAAGGCGAGCTCCGACTCACAGCCGGGGCTGCCGTGGTCTGGCATGAACTCGTCGTGCTGCCATCGTCATGATCTTAGCCTCTTCGAGCTGTGGGTCAGGAAGTATGATGGCTGTCCTGACCCGGTGTATAGTTATCCCTTATGGCTGTGAAAGCCAGAATAAATTAGCGAGAGTGCGTCCGACTAGTGTCTCTGAATTAGCACACTACATTTGTATGCACAATTCTGAAATACTGTCAAGTGTTAGGTATTTATTTCACTTGAATATTGTTTGTGACCCTGTTTTTAAAAAATGGAAGCACAGGCTTGCGCTTTATTCCTCGCACGACTGCTGACATAAACTCTATCTGTCTTTCCTCTACCAGAGGGATCTCCAGAACACCGCTCTCAGAGGGTATTTAGGTCTTCCACGCTGGCAAGACATCATTGAAGAGGTGGCACAGAGATGAGGGAATTTAAGAAACTTAGCCCATTTATTCAATTGCCGCACTAGGAGATCGAGTCTGCGACCTCTGGAATGCAAGTCCAGCGTGATATCAATTACACCACGGCAGCATCCTTACATGACCTTTCAAGCGCCTTTAAATTCTAGTTTTGAACATTTACCGTTTTCA